TATATATACGGATGAAATACTGAACTACAACAGAAAGCACTCAATGAAGCACAAGAGGAACTGTGTTTAAATTCCGTTCAAGGGGGCGGGGACACGTAGCAGCGTCGCAAGACTACGGAAGAAGGAAGAAAACCACCTGTTCAGAGGACTTCCGAACAATGTACATCCAAGGAATTTTATCAAAGAAAACTTGAAGAAGGAAGAGACATCTCAACAACAGCAACAGCAAGGATGTGTCAGAATTTACAGCATCATTACTAGCTCAAAAAGGAATCCTAGTAGCTAACTAACTGAATGACACTGTTTGGCAACTGATCCCAAGACCGAAGGACAACCGAGACAAACCTAACAGGAACAATGTGATATACCAAATTAACTGCAACAAGTTCTACGTTGGACAAACTGAGGGGAAATTATGCACACGAATGAAGAGAGAAAACGCGGTCGTCACGAGACATGACCTTCTATCTATTAAGATGAAGGTCACGAAATCAAACGGGAAAACTCAAAAATCTCGGCATACGAAGACACGGAAAGGGAATTCCGGAAGCGTGGTACTCCACTGCGAATTGGGTCAACCGATGCATTCGGCTCGACTATATTTACGAAACCACTACGTGCGAAGAACCAATATCTCAACCGGACCGCTCCAGGAGATCCGAATATTGGATTAACAAACCAAGAAACATGAAACTCCTTGCAGTCGGATCAACAAAGGTCACAAGCTGGAACTCAGATGGGTCATGAGAAGAGGTCACTCCAGCGTCAACCAGAGGACGAGAGCAGGGGAGGTCGAACCCAAAAACCGTTCAGCTATAGAACCCTTTCGGTGCCTAACTGCCATGCCGCCCGAAGGTTGCACGAGGGCTGGGATATTGCCAGGTTGCCCAAGCCTAGACAGAGGAAGTCGAGAGGCAGAGGTCGGGTTCAAACCACGGACCTTCTGGTCAGTAATTTCGCGCTCTAACCACTTGGGCCATCTCGAACCCAAAAGTCACGTGATCATCGATCAATGAGAACACAGGATAACAGAACAACCAATGAAACCGGCAGATCGAACAACCAGTCGCGATCAAAGTTCGGCCCAGGCTGGCAGCACGTATATTAACACACACGCAACACTGTTGATTACGCCACCACCGACCCATCGGTACGCCTCACTGCGCCTCCAAACAACGTACTGATGATGTCACGGTGATTGGTGATAGAACGCTTGCAATCGAATTGCCCAACTACGAGATAGGATAGTCAAAATAAACAGTATCGCCTTGCGAGGGGGACACAATGATCGTCTTTTCTATACAAGAAAAATTCACGAGAGACCATTTAGCCTAACGGGTGTGTTTGTACCTGAGCTCCACAGTGCTGTATGATGCGTTGCATTTCTTCATGTACCAGTTCCACACATCTCAGACTGGGTTCCTCAAGTCGACGAATCTGGCGTTTGACCAACAGTTCGAAGGAGACCTCAGGAACAAACAGTGCTGGTCGTGGACCGGTGGCGTTGCGGATGGCTGTGAGGATGTCCAGAGTGGACAGACCCCCAAGAGGATCAATGCGGCTCAACGTCCGGTAGAATGTCTCGTGGAAAATGTAGCATATCCGAGCACCCCCACAAAGCTCAGTGGTTTCGATATCTTTGGCCACGCCATCGATTGTGTTGCAATAGGCAGTGTTGAACTTGGTGATGATCTGTAGAAGCAATTGGCCCTAGGATGAAAGAAGTAGCAAAGCCAAGTATGGGTGACTGTTTGATTGTACAGATAAACAGGACATTTTTACATAAATTGAGCTGACGCCTTTTTGAGGGTGGATCCATAGGATTTTATCCTGATTATCAGAGCCCAAACGTAGTAATTTGCATCACTCTGGCGGCATGGGCTGAACAGAACATGTTCTTAGTACTACTGACTAAAAGTGTGGAGTAGTAAATGCGAATGAATGCTTCGTTCACTCCACACGCACACTCGAACATTCACGTAATCACCCACACACACACACACTCACCCGCCCCACTGTCCCCTCGTTCGTTCACTCACTCGCTCACACATCTAATCGCTTAGTCCAGCCTTTGCTCGGATGACTGATCATTCCCCATGCTTCCTAAGAGTTACTCGAGAGCTGCATGCAGAAAGGACCAAGTACACGAAGGAAAACAGCGCATCCTCGGGACCTGGCAAAGTCGCGCCCTTCTGAGCAGCATGATTTCTCTTGGAACATAGGCTTGGTCTGTAAAGTACATTTTATCAGATACTATATCGCACGAACGTATGGGTCTCTGGGAACAGTCCAATAAATTCTCCGGAGATGATATCGTCATAGGGAAAAATGGTCAGGAAATCGAATTAACTTCCATGGATTCGATTTTGTCAAATACATTTGACTATGCGATTGCCTCTTGTTCAACAATAATCACCGTTTGAAGCACATGGCATTTTCGGCGTGGGTTATCGAAGGGTTACTCATGTTCGGCGACAGAGAGCCCTCGATTTTCAGTCTCACAGAATGGTCCACTTGCTTCATAACTCTTAACCAGTTAGGAGAATATCATACAGCCTAGAAAAAAATATGTCCACACTTCCAGGACCATATTCTTCGAAACTAGACAGAGATTTTCTCCCAGCGGAGTTTGACCTAATCGTGCTCTCTTGAGGAAAGCCGAATGCTTGAGAGCAATCTCAAGTAGAACTGACTGGGATAGCGTTCAAAAAATGCCTAACTGAATTATGCATCGGGTTTGTGAAACGCGACTTCGAATAGCCCGCGCAGCGGTGATGTCTCCTCACATGGTGCCGGAGAGATTGGCGAACAGGTCAAGAGCTACCTGATCAACGTCCAGAGACTACATTTGGCAGCCTCATCAGCGATATGAGATGCTTTTAGCATATCATCCACGAGGCCTTTTGTAGTAAGACAGATTTAAGCCAATAGGTACCATGTCATTCGTATTGACCCACTCTATCCTCTAGCTTCCACAGCTATGGGTTCCTAGTGTAGTTCAGCTGTTTGCAACCACGGATCTTGTGGTCACCTGACAGAGGTGTGCACAGTACTGCAGCTGTGATTGAAGGTATTCAATAGCGTAACACCAAGCCTAAGTTCGTCAAAACTTGCAGATAAGCAACAGAGTTGATTAGAGAGGATTAGAACATCATGTGTGTGTATGTGTGGATCAAATGTGGCAACAATCTGGTGGTAAACAGATGCCACAGTAGTATGGGTGAACTCTCTTTTGACGCATACCTTGTCTTCAACCTCATCACCAAACGTGTTCAATAAGTTTTGAAATTGGGCCGCCATTACGTTAACGCGCGTTTTCAACTCCGGCAGGCAATCTCGAATATGATGCATAAGCAGCTGAAAAGTAGAGATGTGAAATGAAGCAAAAGCGGAGTTTGTTGAACAAAAGTACTGTTACGACGGCACAATATTTCTAGTTAAAGTCGGAGGGGCACCTCATGAAAGTCAGTAAGGGACGCAATAGAAGCTAGAGCACGAGAATAAAAGTCCCGGTAAGAGGAACAAACTTGGAAGAACTGCCGGTGCAAAGCAAAGCTTGGATACAGACACACGGGAACCACACAATGTGTGCTGAAGCACAAAAGACTGAGAAACCTGAATATCTGGATGTCCCAGTTCATTCCACTACAACAGTTTCGTTGACCTGGTTAAATGGCTCAATACGGAAACATTTGAAGTAATAATTTAGCAGAAGGTGGTTAACCCTAAAAGACGATCAGGTACGCACTTTATCCTGGTCGGCGAATATGACCGGACCGGTAGTGCGTCCCTCTGGTTGACTTGCTATCATACCCTACGGTTTCTTAGAACCAACCACATTCTGTTTTGAAAACAACACATTCAAATCAGGACCCTCAAGAAGCAACCAGCTCGCCTCGGCATGTCCCATTCCTTGTGTACTAACCAAACGCGCAATTACGGGGAAGGAAAACTCTAACGTCAACAGACCCTCTGCTAAAAAGTACACGGAGAAAGAACACATCATAGCGTCGAAGAACGCCGTCGATCCGCTTGCGGACGGGTACTCCAACGGCCTGGGGTGGTGGACTACAAGAGGCGTTCTCATCTTGGACCCACGCCGTGTGTTGGCCCGACTAAAAGGGTGTCGTATAACTTCTTGATCTCCCAGGGCCTGTAAATAGCTCGTAAGCTCAGGTGGACTTCAGTCTGACCCAACATGGCTGAACTATTCACAACATTGATAGGGTTAAAAAGACAAGTCTTAGAGAAGGAAAACTCGCACGTTGCATTGTGAGTATAGTACGGCTGGCGAGAACTTCTCTATTGGATAAATTTAGTTATTGGACAAGTAGCGCACACCACCAAATCGTGAATGAATTAAACGGTCACCCACTCCTTACGCTCACTTGTAAAGACGAAAACATGGCTACGCAGATTCCTAGCAAACTTTGAGAGAGGAATGTAGGAGCAACATGACTAAGTGTCTTGAACTATCAAACTGCTATGTCAAATGACAGACAAGGCAGCGGCCAATCCGAACAAACTAAATAAGCAAGAATGACCTCAAGGGTGTCCACGAGATGCGGTGCTGCAGATACTGGACAGTGATAAAGAAAGCTACCGCAGTAGTTTTTCGGGATAAGTTTCATTGTGACAAGATACCGCGGCCGAGAGTTTTACATGTGGCCTCCGGAGCATCACGAAGGCAGAACACTGTCTATCTGATAACCACACAAGGGCGATTAACAGGTATTCTGGAACTTCTCCCATTGGAATTCGCTTTCTGATTTCACGGTAAGTTGACAGAGTTTCTTCTCTAGAACTAACACATAATGATGCCTACTTGAAAACAGACATAACCGGTCTGAGTAGGATAAGTCCGTTGGAAAATAAAAGTATACACTTAATATGTTGGTTTGACGGAAACCACATTCAGAATAATCGGAATCATGCGTTTAGCAAATCAGATCACACAAGACACCCATATATAGGCATTAACATGCTGTAAAAAGACGGACTTACGCGATTTAGTGTCCGCGCCAAACATGGGGTACCATTGCGGCTGGCTAACGATGGGTACCGCCTCTGGAGGAAACTGGCTTCGTTCTGAAGGGCTTCTTCAATGGTCTTGCCGGAATTGATATCGGCCTGAGATCGGTTGACAACGCCGATGATACCCAGCTTCACGGGGACTACTCGTCCGAGCAGTAAATCATGCGCATCCGTACCTTGATCCATCAAATCCAACTTGGTGAGAATGCATAAAGTGCGTCGACCTGGAATAGCAGTGAGAGACGTCATATGAGTCCGCTATAAGCGTGAAACTGAAGAGATTACAAGCGACCTGAACCCAATCAAACGAAGTGATCGAATAGTTCATTGGTACAGTAATGGATCTGAAGCGCGGACACGGTCAGGATGAGACAATATTGCTTACTTCACTAATGTAACCGTTCTTAGGGGCATGGGAGTATCTACAGTAGACGCGGTGATCAGCACTCCTGGGGAAAGTCCACTAGCCCCCCAAAGAGAATCTATATGGTCCAAACGGCATTCCCCGTCAGCCACTATCCTAAGTGCGGGACCAGCAACACTCAGGTATCCCTCCTACAATTGTTAGACCCTGTTGGGTAGCCGATGTGTTCGGATATGAGCTCTTGAGAACGACATCACATAGTAATCGCAGAAAGAGATCGCCACGGGGATGAGAGGTTGGCATCTCCTAAGGGTGATCAATCTTCAGGAGAGACAGGAGGCCGTGCATCAATTTCATGGACCTTAAAGTGAGATAACATTGTGAACTACTCATGCTGGTCTCTCTGGAATGGTTTTCCCTTGTGTAGTTGCTGCACGCACGCATTGTTGAACCAAATACAGCTAATGACGAAGATAACAGACACAGTCACTCACCATCTGGATCCACCATTTTGGCCAACTTCAAACCTTCACTGGTCGCCATATCCGTGTTTGCCGGCGTAACAGCCAGAATGATACAGTTCGGATTCTGTACATACTGTAGACATAACTGATTGATCAGTGTTTCAATATCCTCTGGCTGATCCGCGACCGGGACTTTGGTAATTCCAGGTAGGTCAACAAGAGTGAGATTCAGGACTTTGGGACTGTAGATTTTCAGGTTGATTGGTTCACTGCTAATACCCTGAAAGCAAGCGGGAGAGAGGAGGACAAAACGCAGAACTGTTAAGTTAGGTGAATACAGCCACCGATCGCACCCTATCTTTAACAACGTAAGATGTTGAAAATTTCAGGTTAGCTCGGTACAGCAAACCAGACGGACGCAATTCATCATACAGCGCATAGATATCAAGATCCAGCTATCAATCGAAAGTGATCGTTCAGCTGGGGCGCAATTCATCATACTGCGCATGGATATCAAGATCCAGTTATCAATCGAAAACCCTTTCGGGGGGCCCAGCTACCATGCCACCGAAAGGAGGGTTGGAATACTTCCTGGTTGCCCAAACCTAGTCAGGGGAAGTCGAGAGACAGAGGTCGGGTTCGAACCACGGACCTTCCGGTCAGTAAATTCGCGCTCCAACCACTTGAGCCCCAGTTATGACCAAGAAAGGCCGGATCCGTGTGGGATTCTGTGGCCTAAATGCGATCTCAACGCATCCTAAGTGAAAACACATCTGGTTGCCGCGCTCACTAACATGTTACTCAAATGTGCGTAACAAAACATGCAGAGGCCATGCCATCGACTGCCGTACGTGTAGACCTATAATTTGCTACATCCATAGTGCTGCTTAGTGGTAACATGGGAACTAGTCGCAACAGAGTAACGTAAGTCAAGTGCTCGGCCTGTGATCCGTAAAAATGACAATACTGGTGGTAACTCTCTCTCTCTCTATTAGTTTATCGAATCCTTCTTGGCTGTATGGGAATTAAGCACCGATAATGTTGACGATGATGACAGCAGTCGGATTGAAGTTGTATGAAGCTGGGTAGTGTCATCGAGCGACTCTCATATGTTTGGACGTAGCTCCAGCTTCGTAATCTTTCCCCTTAACATACACTATATGTTGTGAGCAGTTGTGGAATTCGCTAAATTCGTGTCCAAACTACTAACGGTACAAAAGAGGATACACACCGCCCATCGCGCTAGTTTTTGTCCAAAATAAGGTCGTTAAGAAACACAGAAAGTCGCAACTTCTTTAACTATATCTCAAAACTGACGCAACATGCAAAATCAGTGGGGCGTGTGCGATCTGGCCAGCTTAGTGGCCCTAAAAACTTTTCCAAAACTTCCTGTGAATCGGGAACGAATAGCGATCGCCGTGGGTGTATAAATCGATACTCAACAACCAGCACTGTGCGCGCTAGAGTTTGACTCCGACCTCACGGTTGGCAGTACACTGATCATGTTACTGTAAATCGGATGCCACAAACAGTAAGACAATAGTTTTGGGAAGCTATTTACAAAAAAATGAACCGAACGAACCTTTCCAGACCCTGCAGCACGCTCTGTTTCTTCTTTGATTTCCTTCCGAACATCCTCGAAATTAGTGAATATATCTTTGCGATGAAGAAACCGCGCCCATTCAAGTGATCTTCCATCCCCATCAGCTATTCGCGTGTTGGTGTCCGACTCATCCACATATACAAGTTGCAATACAAGAGGCCGCCTCGTCACGATTCCGGGACCTCGAGGCAAAAAGTCTCGACCGACCAGGTTCTCAAGAACTGAACTTTTACCGGAGCTCTGAAGAAGATAACAAGTAAACACACTTCGTGTTCAACTGGGGTAGTGAAATGAATGTCGCAAGATGAACTCAGGAAAACATCGACCAAAGGAAAAACAGAATGGACAAACACTCAACATGAATAAAAAAGAAATCAGAATGGGTCCTGATGTGATTGTGATGACCCATCTGTTTATGAGGGAGACAGATGTCCCAAAATACCAGTGTCTTGGAAGCAGCTAAGCCGCGGAGTGAATGCTGGTGTCGCAAGCAGTAAACAAATGTTGGATGGAGACAACAGGATGACCTATTCATCAACCCAAAAAATATGAGCCTGGATGCTCTGGGGATATTGGAACGTGATAAGGATTATAAGTACATACGGGACAGCTATCAGTGGTAAACTCGGGTTGTTGGCGCTCATTTATACAATCCATCTTCCAAGAGGTGCGTAATTCGCACCATTAGGCGGTCTTTCTCTGAAGATGGTCCGTTTCGGCGAAAACAACTGGCAGCCTAGAACACAGTTCCTACGAAAGTGTCGTCATATTTTAAGCTTTATAGGAGGATGTTCGTTCGTTCGCTCGCTCAGCTGTAACACCCTTCCGGTGTCTAGCTGCCACGCTACCCGAAGGAAGCACGAAGGCTGAAACACTGTCAGGTTGCCCAGGCCTAGACAGGGGAAGTCGAGAGGCAGAGGTGGGGTTCGAATCACGGACCTTCTGGTCAGTAAATTCGGACTCTAACCACTGAGCCATCTCCAGAATAAAAGTGCAACCAAATGGTTGAAAAGAAAAAAATCATAATTCCATTAGGTCTGAAGTCCAGGAAACCACTGCATGGTACGTACTTGTGTTCCTAGGACAGCTATCTGAGGTAGATGTATGGTCTCCGTGCCCACGGTGTTAAACACATCTTGTAATTTGTTGATAACTGGAATGAGGGACTCCATTTGGAAAAATCCTGGCAACAAAATTGCCTATAAGTGAGTGCAACGTAGATGGGTTGGTTCAAACCTGAAAAGAACATATAATTGCATGATTAATCGAGTAAGTGGAATCATGTGATACATCTAGTGAATCGAATCAAAAAAACGTTCAGCTGTAGCACCCTTCCGGTGCCTAGCTGCCATGCCACCCCAAGGAAGCACGAGGTCTAGGATACTGCCAGGTTGCCCAAGCCTAGACAGGGGAAGTCGAGGGGCGGAGGTGGGATTCGAACCACGGACCTTCCGGTCAGTAAATTCGCGCTCTTACCACTTGGGTCGTCTCGCCCCTGTAGCTTTTGAATCGAATCAAAAGCTACATGGATCTTGAGTACCATAGTAACCGACACTCCTCCAATTTCGCTGCAGAACAGAACAGCCACACGCTCTTACCACTTGGGCCGTCTCGCCCCTGTAGCTTTTGAATCGAATCAAAAGCTACATGGATCTTGAGCGTTATACTAACCGACACTCCTCCAATTTCGCTGCAGAACAGAACAGCCACACGCATAAATTAATACGGAAGGATAATATTCATAGACATCGGGGACATGCCTCTTCAACCAAGCACGTGTCAAAAGATGAACCTACTTACACAGCCGGAACCAAAAAACTCTCAATTTGGACCAGTGTTACGAGTGACGTTCAAACATCTAGCATAAAGTGAAAATGTAATCAAAACATCTTTATCTGGACGAATGTCCGCTTGCCTCTCTCGGATCCGCGTCATATGACGAGAAAGCTGATTGAGGAATCACGTACGGATGCAGCAAGTTTCTCTTCAGGAATATTGGTGAAACCCAAACAAGTCCTATAGAGATGACTGCCCCCCCCCCAACACACAACCGGGCAATAACAGGTGTTTCAAATGCGAAATATGTGGACTAACCAGCACAGCAAAGGGAGTCACAAGCATATCTATTGCAGGTGAGTTCACGCTCACCACACCTTTGGGAACCTGAAGTTCCCACCAGACCTGGGTAGTGTTTAGAAGCACCTGCTGTTCAGTTCACTTCAGTTTATCAGCCACAAACCATGCACCACATATATTTTGATTCCAGCTGTCATGGCTTCGTTCACCGAAAAACGGGGCAGCATGGGAATGAGGTCAGACACTAAAATTGTTCACTAGTCAGTCGTCGTTGGATCATTCCGGTTGTCCAGAGAAACTGCAGAAACGGACAACTATGTAATGAAGGCGATAGCCTCGATGATCTAGCGACACTGACAGCCACGGGCCACGGTTGCCGGTATTCTGAAATACTGACGAGTTGAGCAACTGGAACTAGTCAGAGCTTACCAAGGGAATTATTCTACGTTGGCATGTACGATGCATCGGGAAAGCGAAATGACAACCGAGCCCGCACAATCGCGTGGTCACCGTCAAGGTGCGTACCCCAGCAGAAATAGTATTCTTTAGTTGATGTGTCCCCTCTAAGGGTCCCCGGCTAGGGAGACGGCAATGATCAGCGCAGCTAGTTTGCTGGTAACAGCTTTCACACTTAGCTCCCAAGTAATTGTTTCACCCCTTGGCCAGTTTCCACCCTTCGCGTGGTTGTGCGAAAAGAGAACTTCGAGGAAGTCTGTCAAGTGGCAGTTGGAGCACCTGGCCAAGCCAGCGCAACCTATGCAGTGTGATGAGCCCATTTGTTGTGAGTAAATTATTTTTTCCGAAGATCGCTCGGTCAACTTCGGAATTGCTAAGCCGGGGTTCCCACCATATGCGGGCAGTGCTCCGAAGACACTGATAGTCAAACACTGAAAGAATTCTGAAGTCCTCGGTGCGCAGCAACCAGGTTTACGACCTATATAATAATATGGAGCACACCGCAGCATTTTAAACACGACTTCTGACGGATAAGCTGATGTCACGCCTGTGCCCCAGATGATGCAGGGTTACGAAAGTTACTCTGACTTCCCCAATCTGGATCGAAATATCATCGTTCGCGAGACCACCGGGACTGATAAAGCTGTCCAAGTAGACAAACTTGTCTACCACCTAAAGCGGCTTATCCTCAAACATGAGGATAAGGTCCGAGCACATCCAGCCTTACAGTAGCACTTTACACTTTGCATGCCAAACTGCGAGGCAGTTATTTAGACTATTCAGTATTGTTTACATTACCACGGTGCCAGATCCAAGAAGAGTTGTGTCGTTTGTGTACTCGATAGTAGTCGACTGTATCAGTTGATATAGGACACTGTTGTTTCCGGTAGCAAAAGCCGTCTCCATCTCCCGAGCTTTCGGTGTCAAACATAGCTCTCTGTCTTTCCTTAGTCTCTCCACTATTTGGCGTTTGGGGGATTTCCGAGCGCCATTGTACTCGTTGCCTGCTAGTATGTAGTTTCTGGCATCAATCATGGATAGCAATCACCAGGACATTCAGTGGTCATGTGGTCAGCATCTTTATGGCTGACTTGCGAGGGCCTGAGGGGAAACGAACTGTCAAGCGTGTGCGCACCATGGCACGATCTGAATCAGGTTGTGTACCCCAGAAGGAACGACAGCCTTGAATTGTAGCTCTCCACCGGTGGGTGATGGCCACGTGATCCAAAAGAGTCCACGGTTGATTTGTATTTGGTAGCCTCCAGGTTACGTGATGCGAACGTTTATGCTGAAAGTTCGTTCTGGCCAGAAAGAATTGATGATGAGCACACAATTGGAATAACTCTCCATTGTCTTGTGACGAGCGTGGAGTCCAAATCGCCCACTCAAATGTGATTTTAAGGAGCTCAGACGACCACCTTGAACATTCATTTCGCCCTTGCTTGGCGAATGATCCCGGATAACTCTCGATAGAGAGTATAATTCTCAGCGTCATAACTTCAGTTCATCGGGGTGTAAGGCGACACTACAAACAGACACCGCTTTTTATGCCGAGAGGCATTGAGCTTGATTGAGCTGGATAACCGAAAGACACAAAGACGACTGTTCAGTGGGATCCAATCCAGCTCTGGGGCTGAGTGTAACTCCCACACTATATATTTCGTCACTTATCGCTTCTGGATCACCGGACACACGGAGGAAGAAATGTCAAAGACCTGAGTTCGCCCTTGGCGTTCTGATATGTATAACCCCCGACCTAAAGCTGCCACCTTGACGTGGTGGTTGGGCTTCAGTGCTGCAATGATCCCGTGGGCTACACTGGCTGGAAGTTCGTTCCACAAGGTGCAACCATGCCAGGAAGGCCAAAGGGGAGCAGCCAGACCAAGAGCAGCGAGACCCCGTACTACGAGTAATCGTGCTACGAGGCGGTCTGGGGGTAAAGTCGTACTGTCCTCTGCGACAGGAGTGTGAAGGCAGTAAGGTGTTTCCCCCAGGCGACCAGCATGTCCATATTTATGGAAGCAGCGATGCTGCCTTCCCCCGAGGAAGGGCTTAGAAAAGGTCGACCCCAAAAACCGCACACTCCGATCGCCCAACGGTTGACCGTGACCGCCGGCGCATTATCC